TTGGTTTCCATTTAGATGGAGTATTTTTTTTCTATCCTTTCACTTTCAGTCTATGTGTGTCCTTAGAGCTGAAGATAGTCTCTTGGAGGCACTGTGCCAGGGCTAGGGTTTATGATGAGAGTGTGTGTCAGCATTTCCTACCCATTTTGATGTGGGTATTTTCTCGTTCACCTAATGTGTAGGAGTCACTCAGCTAGTTTCTGGATTTCTTTCACAGGTAATTACTCCACGTGTAGCTGTACATTTGATGTATCTGTGGGAGAAGGGTTAGTTCAGGAGCTTCTTTATCACATTCTTAGTCCAGTCAGCTTGTTTTTATTTGAACGGTATTAATCTGGTGCCTAGAGCTGTGCTGGGCACATAGTTGATACTCAATATTTATTTGTTGAATAAATCAGTGAAAAGTTTCAACTTTGTACTGGGCACTTTAATCTTTTACTTTTAAATTTTTACCTAATCTGTAGATTAGGTAAATCCCCTTCCAGTTCTAAAGTTCTGTGACTTTAACATGAACATGTGCTCATTAGGCTTTCTGACTCCTTTCCTGATTCACTCAAGCCAGGTTAGTTTATTGCCCACCTCTTTGCTCCTACAGCACTGTATTCCTGCTTATAATATCAGCATTTATCATAATATTTTCCCCAAATCAAGGCAAGGTGTGTTTTTATCTGTTTCTTCATATCCTTGCTATAATATACCATGGCATCTGGCACTCACAGTGTTAGGCTTTCAATAAAAATTTACTGATCGAGTGAGTGAGGCTTGCATAAAATAATTCTTTGGGGGCAGGGAGAGGGAGAATTTTTTTTGCTTATTGTTTTAAACATCTAGCTGAAGAGCAAAAACTGGAGGGAAATATCTTTATAGTGAGTCACTAAGGAGCTTTTATAGATTTTCATTATTCCCCACTCTTGAAACGTGAGCCTTCATGGAGCATATTTTTTTCTACTCTATGATGGCTTCTTTTGGGTGAATTCAAAAGTCATCATATCTTCTACTGGGCTGTTAGGAAATTAGAAGTCTCATCTAGAAGGACAGAAGCATATCTAAGTCTGCCCAAATAAGCGAGAACCAATTCTAAAACTTTCCAGAAACAGATATTGCCTGAATTCTCCATTTTTATATTTTGTTTCAATAATTTTTTAAAAAGAAACAAACTGAGAAATACATATCGCTGAATGTCATTTTAACCGTATGCTCTAAATCACAATATTTAAAGTAAATAAAGAGAAAGACATAACTTTGTATAATAAGACAAATTTTAAAGAAATTTTGTTTGATTTACATGTCTAGTCTTAACAAACGGCAAGAAAATTTACATATTTAGTTTAATTGTACATCTGCAATATGAATTCATACCTCACTAGAGAGTGTAGTACAAAATATCATCGTTCTGTTAAACAAATGAGGTTCAAACATGTTGAATTTGAGTTTATCATCATTCCTTTACTAAAACTTATTTGCTATGCATACAGAACAAGTGAAATTTACTCACAGTATGAGTTTTCTCCTCTTTGAAAATGAAAATATCTCACCTTCATTGAAGCAAGAATCAGAGCTCTCTTTAGTTCATGTTTTTTTTTAACTTTCCATAACTGAAAGTACCGACTCATCCTAATTGTAAAATATATGCAGATATATTCAAAAAGTAGAAGAATAAATTACAATACTAATAATACCCACATCTAAACATATTCTTAAGTTAAAAGAAGATCTCACTAGTGTTCCTTTGGAATTTGTACTCCAAGTCAAAGGAAAGTTGAAATGTAAGGCTTTTTCTGATAGACAATTCTTTTCACATTCAAAATAGTCATAATTACTTTTGAGATAGAATTTTATGTCTTTAATCACAACTGAAATCACTCTTAAAGATGTTTTCTCTAAGACAAACAAGGCTATGCTTTCATTGGAGGATTTGATTATCTATACTACTCAATTTTCTAAAAATTCCAAAATGCTGAATTGCTATATATATATATATATATATATATATATATATATATATATATGTTGGTTCTGTTTCTCTGGAAAACCCTGACTAATACAACTGATATAAACAAGACAAGAATTCCATAAGGTAGCTAAGAATAGAATGTAGTATTCATACCTACTCAGTCCAGTCTGTATGTTTGACATGTACCAGTTGAGATATGGCATAGGGAGCAAAGGCAAATCCAATCTATAAACATACAATCATGGACGTTAAAGTCGGTCCACTTTACAGTTAAGGAAAATGGAATGCAGTGAGATTAAACATTTTCCTGAAGACATACAGCAAATCAGTCGCAGAACCGTCAGTAGCACACCTTTTCTGAATTCTAGTCTAGAGTTCTATCCTTCACACCAGGCTTCCAATTTCACACTCTTTCCACACTTGAGTGGTTTAACATGTACAATGATCTCTGAAGCTAATTCATACACCCCCTTTCATTTATTGTGCACCAATCCTTTTTTTAGAATGAGTGTGTTTGGCTGCATAAGACAAGTTGTTGTGCTGGACAAGGAGTATACTTACGTTTTAGAGAAGGTATGGCACTGAAAGGCCAGGAGAGATGAGCAGAATGCCTCTGGCTCATGAGGGTCAGTCACAGAGAACCCTCTGTAGTCCACCCCAAGATGGGAAGGGAGTAAATACTGGGCTGGTGCCAAGGTACTCAACTGCAAGGAGGGTGGGGAGTAGAAATGCCAATGCCTACAGGAAGGCATTATCCTCATGGCCTTCTGAAGTAACCCATCACCAGAGAGCGCTGGGGTGACCTGAACATGCCATAAGCAAAGCTGACATTGCCCCCACTAAGAAGCACAAAAATTTGCTTCAAGGGACTTACCCTGAATATTCTTGTATGAGGCCCTTGCTGTCCATTGACTACCTGCTTTTGGTAATCTTCACCACTACCCTAATGCAACTTTCATACCCTTGGAAGTCTCAGTCAATATTTAATGATACGCTGGGCTTGGCAAAAGAAAAGAAACTGTAGATTATTTTTGCAGAACACATCTGCTTGCTATAGAAAAAAGTGTGGAAAGAAAAATAAGACATTGATTCAAATTTCCCTGGACAGCTTTTAAAGCCAGCTGAAAAAAACAAATCATATGAAAGAATACTTTCTACTTTTTAGGAAAACAAATAAAACAGTCATTTAGTAAGTGTTTATCACAGCTAGCTGTACGTTTTTAGTCAAATCTATAATAAAAGTTTTATTTATATAACTGATATGTTCAGTATATTTTTCCCTATTCTATGATTTTGAGCAAGCTTTTGCTAGTTTAAATTATTGTAGACTTTTATAGCTGTATATTTGGCTCTGATTAATTTTATCTTGGGTCCTTGGTCAGAAATACAACACCTACTCCCTATTACAATTGTCCCCATGGGAAAAATCAATCTTTTTGACAATGAAATAAGTTATGACAATTTCCATGGACATCCTCTTGTGAAAAGCAAGGACAGCCTGTTATATGCCTCCACCACGTAGAAAGGACCAGAGGGGGCAATATCCTAGGGTTTGCTTTGGATAAATCATTCAGATTTTATGAGTCCTTGCATAGATCCATTCGCTATGTCAGAACCAGCCACATGTTCCTAAAGGGGTTTTATAGACCTCCAGGTACTGCTGAGCTGTAGTCTGCCTGCCCATAGACAGGAAGTCAAAATCCAGCGCTACTTATATGAAGTGTTTGACATATTCTATAGTCGGTAAGCTGTGAGCCCTAGGATACATTCAAGAGCTAGTTATTAGTGACCCTAGTGGCATACTTCTCATGCCTCTCTCTTTGGGATTGGGGGACGGATATATTTGAGTGGGCTCACAAATGAAATCAAATGCTTAATCTGGATAGTGGTGAGATATCCAAGAAGAGAAGCAATTTTATTAGAATAAAATATTCAAATATGAAGAATAAATTACATTACATACACGTTATTTTTCCAGAAGGACCTGTGATGTAAAAGGTGTCTGTGACATCTAGATGTTTATGTTCTGACCTACTACTGTCAGCAAGCCACACAACATGAATAAAATCTTCATAAAATTATGACAAAAATCAGGGCCGGCCAGGTGGTGCAGCCATTAAGTTCGCACGTTCAGCTTCGGCGGCCCAGGGTTCGCTGGTTTGGATCCAGGGTGTGGACGTGGTACCGCTTGGCAAGCCATGCTGTGGCAGGCGTCCCCCATATAAAGTAGAGGAAGATGGGCATGGATGTTAGCCCAGGGCCAGTCTTCCTCAGCAAAAAAGACGAGGATTGGCAGCAGATGTTAGCTCAGGGTTAATCTTCCTCAAAAATAAAAACAAAAGACTCTACTCAAAACTTTCCTTCCCACCTGATGCTAACTTCCATTTTTACCCATCATACCAACCACTTAATGGGACCAGTGTATCAATTCCTTTTCAGGAGGCATGAAAATATGACAGTGGAAATTGATTGCTAAGTGAAATTATGAATTTTGCAAAAGATGTGAGATTTCATTAAGTCCATGAAAGTAATTTTGGAGGACTGCATTTACTACACGCACAGAAACTGACAAGGAAAATTTTGCGAGTTTACTCTAGTTAACAATTGAAGAAAAGACAATTGACTCCAAAGCAAATGATGAAGTATCAGAAGATCAGGAGAGGACTTCGGGAAGAGTTATGAAGCTTCCATTTTTTTTTTCAAAGATAACTCTTAATAGCCATCAAAGTCAAATGTGAAGTTAAAGCCCACTTGTCTTCAAGAACATGTCAGAGATCTGTTATCGTTGAAAGAATTAAATCTTCTGAGAGTTTATTCCCATTCTTATTGTGATCCAGTTAATCCACAACAATCTGATTTACCAAATAACTCTCTTCTACGCAGACTTTCTGTTTTAAGTTTGCTCATCTAAAAATGGAATGTTTCTTATGAAAATGAAATGAGAACAGAAATTTACTGTCTATCCTGGAAAGAGTCACATTCAACTGGTGATTTGTAATATAGACTATCAGGGTGAAAGGTGAGGGAAAGAGAGGTTTGTCGTTTGAAAACCATATTTAATATGATATTTATTTGAAATTTTACAAAGCAAACAAAAAGTAATTTGTCATATCATAATAATAAATAATACAAATCATAGAACAGAAAGCTTATGAAAGCTTCTTCGTAAGTAGTAAGATGGATATGATACAGCAACTTTAAGATGGTTTATCATAATCAGAGGGAAGGGAAATTTGAGAAATTTTTTTGAGATGCACGTGTTTACAAAAAGGAGAAGAAACACTGATCTTTCTAAATAGGCAAAAAATATTTTAAAGTTGGGGATAAAATAAAATCCATTTGGTCATTTGAGGTTTGACTAAATCTATTCACTCTAATCTTTTCTTCTAATAAAATAACAAATGAGTTGATTTAAAGGTGGTGGGTCTTTTTTTGATGTTCTCTCTCCTCCCACCTGGATACAGACCTAGGCTCCAGAATTGACTCCTTTATTTGATGAACAAGGATGGCCAGGTGAAGGGAAACACACACGCACCCTCTCTGAAAGCTCAGTCTATGGCTAAGACACCCCAGTGCTTAAGGCAAGTCATGTATTTACCTTGGTCTTAACTATATTTATAAAAGCAAAGCAGAGCTCCTCCCTTGATTCTATAACTTATTCTGAGTTCTGGAAGGTTTGTATCAAGGTCAGTTGTCATAATTGTTGATTTATTTGGGAATGTATTTTAACATTTTTATTGGGATCTTGAGATTCCAAATATAGGGATATAATTTTTTTTAACTAAGCCTTTAGACAGGTTGTGAAATAGTACAGAATTTAAGCAACAGAATTTCGAAGCTAGAACAGAGCTTAGAGGTCATTCAGTTTCTTCATTTTTATAAATATGAAAACTAAGCTCCAGAGAGGCCCAAGCTCATGCTTGCACAGTGATGCTGCAGAGTAAAAAGGAAGTTTGCAGGATTTGTAAGCTCAGGCATCTGAACTCAAACCGTTACTTCACCATTTACTACTGTGAGATATTGGGTGAGTCACTTAATCCCAAAATATTTTCAGATGGTTAAAGGTAAATAATGTATCCATGCACTTCAGTTACCTCATCTATAAAATTAGGACAATAATACTTATTGATAGGGTTACTGATAGAAATACAGATAATGTACAAAAACGATTTACTAGAAGAAATTCCAGAAATCCTGAATCTCAGCCCTTTGCTCTTTCTAAGAGTATGATGTCAGCATGAGCTTTAAAATTCTGATTCATATTTTTTAAAATTACTTTAGTGAAAAATCTCCTATTTCTTGATACATCTTCTAATCATGTCATAATTAGGGCTAGACTATTGTTTGACAAAGAACGGATCTCAACAGTAGGCTCAGGATGCTCCACAAAAAATGAGGCAAATAATTCAGGAATGCTGTATACCATGGCTCAGATTAAAGAGAAGCAAATTTTATTATCATCCAAAAGGTTTCTGAAAATCCTGCCAGAAGGAAATCTGTGTATACTAGCTTAATCAGTTTCTTTGGCACACTTAATAAATAATGTCTATTAATACTCCCATAAATTTGTGTTATATGGACAACTTCCTCCCCCAAAAATGAAATGATATGGATATCACTTAGAAAATGCTGCTAAAGGCATAAATAACTGAAACGATATGGATAACTCAAAAATAATGGCTTTAATTCCTTCTAAGTGTTAAATAAACAATATATCAAGTCAATTAATTTATTTTCACTTTGAAAATTTCACACATGGGGCTAGGAGACAAGGAGAGTGAGGAGAAACCACTGAATGGATACGAAGTTTGATCTTGGGTGATGGAAGTATTTTGGAACTAGTTGGTGGTGGTGATTGCACAATACTGTGAACGTACTAAAGGCCATTGGATTGTTTACTTTAAAAGGGTTAATTTTACTATGTGAATTTCACCTCGATAAATTCTCTTTTAAAATTTTACATGCTCATAAAAAGTTCAAAGTATTAAAACCTAAATATTTCAAGTGGTAAATGAGAAACCTCCTAAAAGTTTCACAGAGTTAAAACATGTATTACCACAATATTGAATCATTGCCTTGTACTCCTGAAACTAACAGAACATTATGTCAATTCTACCTCAATTTAAAAAAAAAAAGTATCACCAAACAAAAGAGCAAGTTTTCTTAATGCTCTCTAAATGTATGTATTAGTAAAAATAAAAATCAATATTTCTTTTACGCTCTGAAATTGCAGAAGCTATACAATAAAGTCAATACCAGAAAAAAAGCTATTTTCTACAGGTAGCTAATATTTTACAGGCAGATTACAAACCATCACAAGACACATATTGACAGAGATTGACTGCGGCTGCTGTAACTTAATCTCAGCATTCGTGATCTCAAACCTCTGGAGTCTCACTTCATGGTTTATGATACAGTTACATCACAATCCCTCAATAGAATTACAGCTTTGTCACTAATCTCTCCCTATCAGTTATCCTGTAAGGAAGGAAGCTGGAAGGCACCACGAGAAAGAGGCAATGGCATGAATGATTGCATTCAGTCTCTTTCCACAACAATATCTGTAAGTCTGGGAGTGATAAATGGCACCCGAGTTATAAACGAGCAACAAGGTCAGTAGCGCCAAGCAGCCAGGAGTTCAAAGAAAAGTCACAATTCTGACGAGTTCAAGAAAAGGCCACATACTGCTGGCGTGCATCAGTAGAGATAAATCCTCAGAGATGCCTTACTGCAATTACAAAACAGAATTAGAAAAGCCTGTTATTGAAGAGCTAAGATTTTTGTCCAGGAATTGAACAAAGAACATTGATTAGTGTAAAATTATTTTTTTTCCAGCAAAATGATGAATTTAATAACATTCCATGACCAGTCAAGACTCCTGGTAGAAAATACCTTCAAAATGTTAAATAATTCTTTGACACTAAAAGATCTGTAGCTGAAGAACACCGATTTTCTTCTTGGTCTTCTCTCCTCAGTCTCTTGAATATTTCTATAGAGTCCAGAAGAGACATGGAGAAAAGTGGCCTAACTTTCTAGAATTGTTTTAGCCTGAGTCTTAATCTCTCTATAAATTTCCTTAGGTGAACTGCACAAAACAAAAATGTGATCTTTTCTTATAAACTAAAATATACAATTCTTTTTTTTTTTTTTGAGGAAGATTAGCCCTGAGCTAACATCCACTGCCAATTCTCCTCTTTTTTTGCTGAGGAAGACTGGCCCTGAGCTAACATCCATGCCCATCCTCATCTGCTTTATATGTGGGACGCCTGCCACAGCATGGCTTGTTAAGCAGTGCAAAGGTCTGTGCCTGGGATGCGAACCAGTGAACCCCACGCCACAGAAGCAGAGCATGCAAACCTAACTACCGCACCACTGGGCCAGCCCTAAAATATACAATTCTTGTAACAATATAATGAATAAAAACCACTCACAGAATGTTATAATGGAAAGTTTCCTGAGAAATCTCCTTGTTTGATTCTCCATGTAATGGAGACCCAGAAAGGTTGATGATCTTTCCTAAGGTCATGTCACTGGCAATTGGCAGGTTTAGGATTAAAATCATCAGGCTCCTGATGCTTACTCTTATCTTCTCTCCACTGAATAAAAGGTCCCCTCAGATAGCTTCTGAAGGTCTCGTAGCATCTAGGTCTCTCACTGGATGGGCTGTAGTCCTCAAGTTTCATGCTCTATAGATTTGTAATAGATTGCAATAATCTTTTCTATTCCTTATTTATTTGTTCACGAGATCAAGACAAATTGTATCATATTGGAAAATTTACTAGCCTATTGTGATGCAAAGCTGGGGAAGAATACAAGAAGGGACAGTCATTGGAATCTCCACTCCCCTCAGAGAAGGAAACCTTAAACCCAAGGACTCTTGAAGATACTGAAAGAGCTTCTCACCACTTTCACTCCACTTCCTCACAAGAAGACTCACCATCCTCCTGAGACAGCCGTGGAGATCTTCCTCCTTACTTTAAACCTGTTGGAAGATAAAAAATATTGTACCACATCTCCCATGAGTGGGTAACATTAGGGCTATGATTTGTACAATGCTTTTCTCTTAAACAAGAAAATATGAAATGTTAAAATGCTGCTCATTGCATTAAGCAATGGAAATTTAAGGTACATTCTGTATACCTATGCTTTTAAGATTCAAAGCGATGTTACAGCACTAACGACAGGACACCAACCAATGAGAAACCATGCCATTTCAACAATGGCATAAAACTGTAATCAGTTCTAATCAAAAGACATAGGAGCATTAATTATCCAAATTGGTGGACAACCCAAGAATTACTTGCTTGTCTTTAAAGACCATTTTTACAAGCAGTTATTTTGAGCATGTCTGTTGTTCTAGAAATACTTCAAACTAAGTATTGAAATTTTTCTATGAAGCTTTGAAGACTGGTTTTCTCTATTGTGTTGCATAACTGTCTCCACACCATTTTCCAGCTTGCTGTGAGAGCACCATTCTGACTAGCACTGCGCTCAGGCCCAAAGAATTCCTGCACACTTGCTGACTCACGCCTCTCCTCAATATAGATAGGAATGGTTTTGCTTCCAAAGTCTCTCTTTCCTTGCTATGCTAAACTTGAAAAACATAAGATGACCGTTTCAATTAAGTACAAAATGAAGAAGCCTAGAATATGAAAGTGAGACTTTTTAACAGATAATGAAAAACACGAGGGATCAATAGAAAGCCACACAGCTTCAAATACACATGAGAATTACAGAAAGTTGTCCTCTGATGGGAGAATAAGATCAATAGAAAACACAGTCACTGAAGAGTTCTGTGTGCTCTAGATTCTAGAAAAATTATAGTCTAAGGCAAATCTTTCTACAACCACTTCAAAGATTGTCTAAATTCTTTCCTGGTGCTGGAATGTTCTAATTATTACAGCTAGAAAAACCAAATTGCAGGATAATTAATCACCTCCTCCGTCAGAATCAGACTAAAATAAAACAGACTTCAACTGCTCCCGGACTTGTGTTAGCACCTTTTCCTTAGTTTTGGTAGGTTCCTTCATAAATATGCAAAATACAGAATTAGTCATCATTTCTTTACTCCATAAAATAAATTCCTAGTGCTAATTTATCACCTAAGTGTCGCAGCTTACACTGCTCTGCTTTCCTCCTTTGCTGTGGGCTTCCAGAGAAGCTGTTTACCCCTCCTCACCTGAGTGTCACAGAAAGAGCTTCCTTTGGTCCTTGCTGAGCCAGAAAATCTGTGTTCTGTTATCATAAGGGAAGATCACAGAGACATCACCTGGAGAAAAGCACTTTTTAACTTAATTAAGACTAATATTGTAATGAGAACATTAAAGCAAAAACATTGTTGGCAATCGTCTGGAGCTGAGAGACTTTTTAAAAATCTGTGGTGTGTTTTATTGTTACTATAATGGTTTTTACCATAACGAAATTTAATGCATTACCAGGAAAAAGCCGTGCCCTGTGGTAGGGCTCTGCTTATATTTCAAAACACGTTAGCATGAAGCTACAGTGAGATCTAATAATAGAAATGAACTTACCTAAAGATGCATTGATTTTTATATTAGGTCATGTTGAGAATTTACAAAGAACATCTAGTCCATGAAACAAAAATCCTCTTGAGAACAGCATTGATTGCAAGAAGGGTAATATTAGGAAAATGGAAATCCTCTCCTCCCGGAATGGTGTACATTCGTATAATGGATTAAGTGCACTCGGTAGTTTAGAAAAGGTCATCTTTCAGACAAATGATAAATTTGATGAATTTCAGTAGATTTAATCACCCCTTGAGATTTGATCAAAACAACCCTGGAGTAAGACATAACATCCATCTCACCCATATAATTTACTTATTAAAAATAGGATTAATTTATTGTAACTTCTGAAATTATAAATATTATTTTTATTATCATGCTCTATTTAGTAAAGTTACTCACAAAATAAATTTCTACCGTTTTAATACATCCACTGGATGGATGGCTTCAAAGAAAAGGCGATTCCCTCTTGGACAAAAGACCTGGTAAGAGAAGGAACAAGAATTAAGACAGAGTTAGATTATATCTTTTACAAAACCAGAGATCCTCCCTAAGACATAAGAAACTACAAAGGGAAGCTTACTTTCTTATGCTCACATTATTAGACAGTTGAAATCAGGATTCAACAGTTTACATACATATATTCGAAAACACTTTGCTATCAGTTTTCTTCAGAGTAGTGTATTTCTCCATTTTCGTCATTGTAGCTTATGCTGTTTATTCATATTCCACATTATAGTCCTAATGTATTTTGTTTTGAAATAAGTTATGGTTTCATTTCTTTGAGGGCTTCTCTCTTATTTTCCTTGTCTGTAGGGACGGTCTGCTACTCCATACTCTCCTTTTTCCTATGTTAAATTGGTATGAGATTCAACTTACTTTTTCTAACACCTAATTTTAAGTAAAATGAGTTCAGGTCCTTTCTGAAAGAAGGGATGAGCTCTACAGCTCCCTCTTTTGTAGTTTTTGCAAAGTGCCTACAATAATATGGGGTCCTACTTTCTGAGATGGGCTTCCTTTGCTTCTCTTGATCATTTAAACCTAGATTAAGACAGGAAAACCACCACCTATAGAACAAATATGGACATCAAGCTAAGAATGTTTCTCACATTTTTAAAACATTGTGGGGGGAAAAAAAAAGAAAGAAGGGAGGGAGAGAGGAGAGAATGAAGGAAGACTATGTGACAGAGAATGCATGTGGCCCACAATAAAGCTTGCAAGTTTACTATCTGGCACTTTCCAGAATAAGTTTGTCATCTCCTGAGTCCTGCAGCAACATTTTCCTTTGGACTTGTTGACTTTGTCCTGTTCAGTTTGGATTCTACTCCCAGAATTTCCTTCTAGTTCAAGGCTTTGACCTAGAAGAGAGATTCCATGTTTTAGTGTCAAGAGTTCGGAAGGTCCAGACCCTACAGCGGTCCCCAGGCACTAACCGGGAAATTAGATCCCGAGAAATCCCTCCAGCTTTGATTTCTGTTTTCAGATTGCCACATTCCAGTTGGCTTTCTTTCTCTGTATTGGTGGGAAGATTCAGGGAGAATTAAAATTTAGGCCACTGCCTCCATCTTTGCAAAATCTCAGGCTAATTTTTTTTTTAACTGAATGATGAAGAGGACCTGGAAAGACAAGAAACATTCTGTATTCTCTTTGTAAACTGGAATGTGACTTTTTAAAAACCAGTATGCATTCAGTAAATGATTATTAGCTTTATTTATTGCTTTTTTCTTTCTGATCTTTAATAAAAGTCAATTATTTTTTACATATGTTAATAAAACTAATCCAAAAAAATAGCTAAATTCTAATTTATATACCAATCACAATAAAACTAAATTTTCCTCAGTGAAAGCAGAGCATTTCTGCTGGGTTAATTTTATATCTCCTCTAATAATAAAGTCACTCACAGAGAGTTTAAGCTATTTTACTCTCCTTGTTTCGAATTTCCTTTTCAGGGATGAAACACAATATGAATCTTCATAAATAAATTTATTCTTTGAGAATGATGGAGTCACTTATATTGGACTCATCTACAGATAACTATTCAAAATTCTGAACAAATATAAAAAATAACTCTGAGGAAAATCTGGAGGGTGATCAAGAGCAGGAAGAAAGTGGCGAGCGTCTGACTCTTTCATGCAAGAAAGGAGCTGCACCAGGTAAGATCCTTGTTGACACAGCTTTTCATTGAGGACAGTCACAAGGTGACACTAGGGGTGGGGTATGATGGTGCCAAAACTCAAGCAAAGGCTCAGACTTGCTGGCTTCAAAAGTCAGAGAATGAAGCTTGGGATGCCAAGTAGTTGAAAATTGAGAGGGGAAAAATCAAAGACCACCGAATGGGAGATCCTCAGTATTGCATACATACTTTACCAAAATTCTTGGCTGGTCCCTGGGTGTGCCTCGGTGCGAGATGAGGAACTGCTGGCTCACAACCTCAGGAGTTCCCGCGGTGAAGTCCAAAGCTGGCCCCCATACAAGGAGGGGAATGAGAGACGGAAGAAAGAAGCAGATCTCTCCAGGTTGGTGGATGGCAGTTTTAACGAACATGGGAACTTAGGAGGCTTGTCTTGGGTGCTACAAGATGAGTAGATCTCTGCACCGCCATCCAGAATCTTGAGAGTTTATATAGAGGCCTTAGCTGGGTTCAGTTGCCTACACTGTCCAGATGGTCCCAATAACACATTGTTCTCTCAAGGCTGTGTCTGTCCTTGTGGTGGCTCCCAGTGCAGCAAAAGCGGGCAGGACACACATTCCAAAGACAGGGGAGACGGTGAGGAGCCTCCCATTGCCCAGGCCCAGCTCATGGGTCAACTCGTGGTCACATCGTCTGGATGACCTCCTCCAACATGGAACGTCAAGGTTTGTGTCAAATGTAGCAGCTGGGATGGCTAAAAGAACTGAGCTGTCCATTTCTGGGAAGACAGATTTTGGAATTCAAATCCAGTCAAGTTAACTAACTGCCTACTGGAACAAAAATCAGCACTCTCCAGAAGAAGATTACAGAACCCAGAGTCTCTGAGGAGAAAAAGCAGATAATAGATTAATCCCCCAGCCCAATAACCCAGATGTTGGAATTAGCAGACCAGAATTTTAAACATCTATTATAAATATGTGCAAGGACTTAAGGAAAAATATGGACATGATGAATGAATGGGGGAAATCATAGCAGAGAACAGGAAAAATCTAAAAAAGAATGAAAAGGAATATCTAAGACAAGAAAGTACAATATTTTAAATGAGAAAGTTACTGGATAAACGACAGCCAACTGGAAACGGCAGAAAAAAAGAGTGAAACACATTTACGTCTCTGGCTTAAAATTATTATTATTGTCGTTATTATTATTTACTGGACTGATATATGCTGAAATATAAGCATTAATGATGAAAGTTGCCAGCTAAGGTAAACGTCTGTTTCTTTATAAATACCAGGTGCTGGCATGCTACCTGGAACCCGCTCTCCTCCATATATTCGCTGAGCAAATCATCTAGAAAAGATTAGTACAGAGAGAGTCAGTTATTTGTCTGCAAAGCCAGGAGGAAAGAAAGATCATTATCAGGCTCTCATCAACAAAAGCTTTCCGTAAAAAGTCAGCTCAGACTATGAACTTGGACCTTTGATCTTAAGGCCTAAAAGTATCATAATAAGAATTAATCTAGGTTAGAGGAATATGACTCTTAAAGCAAAAGTATGGAAAAAAATTTTAAACTGCCTTAGCATCTTCAATTTAGTATTTAACTACTCGCAATATACGGAATTTTACCTGTGGAAATCCTCCAATATCTCATCATTTATTTATTCCATAACTTTGGTGAAGACCTGTCACATGCCCTGAGATGGGCACCACTGGAGACAGGAAGTGAATAAGACACGTTCTTAGCCTTGAAAAGAATTTACAATCCAGATTAGACAGTAAGATGTACATATAAATAAACAGAAAAGCAAAGTAGACTATGATAAGTAAGTCAGGAACAAAAGAACCAGGGAACTGTGGTAGTTCGGAGAAGGGAATATTTACTTCTAGGGTATTGTCTAGAGAAGATAGTATTTTAGGCAGCTTTCAAGAATGAAAAGTGTGCTCGTTGAGTTTTGACAAATGGATGTTTGTATAGGACATTCTAGTGGATAAGATCATATTAATAAAGGTTCACAAGTCAGATAAAAGGACAGGTTGCAATTTCAGACACTCTATTTTATACCATCATTATTCTGCCAAGGCTTATGCAATTTGAATTTTATGTAAGTTAAAGACAACTGACTTTTAGATTCAGTCACAAACGAATCTCAGTACATTACTAATATTATTAGAACGAGAAAATCAGCTTTTAATCACCAGCACATCCAAGAAACTCCTCATGATTGCAATTTGAATTTTATATGTTAAAAATCTATTTTTATTTTCAGTCATGAACAAATCTCATACTTTATCAATATTATTAAAATCAAAGAAGTAGGTTTTAATCCTCAGCAATCCAGGAAATTCCTCATAATTTACTCTTTTTAGAAATAAACAAAACAAAACAGGAAAATAAAATCATACAAAGACATGAAATTTATGCATGCTACAATTTATATGCCAGCTCTCAAGTGAAAAGAAACCGAATTGTTATTGAGTATCTTCTATATATTAAGTGTAAGGGGAAAGCAATTTATGTGTACCATTATTTCATTTATATCTACTCTGTGTAAAGCACTGTGCTAGATATTATAGAGAAAGAAGATGGGTTTCCATTCTTTAAGGAGTTTGCACATGAATAACGGAAACACATGAGCTCAAGTATGCATGATTGAGATCTATGCATTTATCAGTCCAAAGTCATAAATATCCCTGGCTATTCAGAAAGAGGAAGCATTTTTCCCTTACCTCTGTCTGGCTTACATCCCTTTCCTCAGAGTCTCCCTTATAGGACTGTTCCTGTAGTACAGCACTTCTTAGACTGCATTTTAATTGTGTCCTTGACTTGCTCTGATGACAATGATGAGTTATTAAAGGCAAACACTGAGCCATCACCTCTTTTTTTTCAGTGAGGAAGATTGTCGCTGAGCTAACATCTGTGCCGGTCTTCCTCTGTTTTGTATGGGGCACACCAACACAGCATGGCTTGATGAGCTGTATGTAGGTCCATGCCCAGGATCTGAACCCACAAACCCTGAGCCAGCAAAGTGGAACGTGTGAACTTAACTGCTACGCCACTGGGTTGGCCCTGAGCCATTGCATCTTTTTGCCTCACAAAATCTGGGAAGTCCCTGAGTATTCCATTATTCAATAAATATTTCATTAGAGGAGAAATAAATAAATGAATAGTAACTTTGAAATAAATCATTTTTATTGTAAATCTTTATTTAAGAAAAGAGCACCATTGTAACCACAGAAATTATGAGACGGTGCCCAAAGAGATCAATCCTTTCATTTTCTCAGCCTGACTTCAACAATCCTCTCCTAGAACATTTGAAACATCTAAATTATTTTAAATATATATGCTGCACAGGGTAACCCATAATATGTTTTGGTATTATATGTTAAAGTCCAATTAAATATTTGGGTTTATATTTAACCTAAATTCTCCTCATAGAAAAGTTCTCAGAAATAGAAATCTATCGTGATATAAAACTTTTTTTAATAAAAGTTCCATGCCTTCCTTTGAGTTTAAAATAATAACAAAGCTTATCAGTTCTTTCCTACTTTTTCTCTCTTTTTTGAAAAATAGACTTTATTTTTTAGAGTGGTTTACAGCAAAATTGAGCAGAAGGTACAGAAATCTTTGTAGCTTTCCCGTATGCTTCCTGCCCCACATACGCACAGCCTCTCCCACTATTAAAATCCTGTACCAGAGTGATAGCTTTGTTACCATTGTTGAACTGACACCTAATTATCATACTTAGTCTATAGTTCACATTAGGGTTCACTCTTTAGTGGTACATTCTGTGGGTTTGGACAAATGTGTAATGACATGGATCACCATTAGAATATCATACAGAATAGTTTCACTGCCCTAAAAATCCTCTGTGCTCTGCCTACTGATCTCCCTTCCCCCCTAGCCCTTGACAACTACTGATCTCTTTTTTACGCACTTTATTTTTTAGAGCAGTTTCAGGTTCACAGCAAAATTGAACGGAAGGTACAGAGATGTCACCTGTACCCCCTGCACCCACGCACACACTTTCTCTTTAATTATTTGCATTGCACAAAGAAAGATAAACGCAGAATCAGAAGCCAAATGCCCCAATTCTATCCTGTGTTCTTCCTTCCACTTGACAGCAAATCCACTTCTCTAAACATAGTCTGCGCTGTAACCGGCTGGGCCTACATGTTCATTCTGTACAGAGTTCATTCTGGGGTGATTATGACCCTAAAGACTTTATTAAAAATTCTCCTGAGAGAATCCTAAAATTAACTCTTTCAATCTTAACCAGATTTTAGTGAATACTCATAATTAGCATTCAATTATTTGTGAAGGCTTACCCTTTGGAAAGAGTTTTGTGCATTCAGTTTGTGCTTTCCTTCAAAATTGCATTTCCTGTTAATAGTTTCATTAATAAATGAGGAGTAGTCAGTCACCTAAGTTCCTTCATTTGTAATAAAGGGCCTTTGGGACTAAATGACTTGTTAGTTTGTTTCCAGGAATAGAATTCAGTGATCATATGATCATTCCTTTCCCTCACAGAATCAGAATCTCTCAGAAAAAGTTTATTAATATAAAAAATTTAAATATATTAATAAAATATTTTTTATATTCC